GGGGGCGGCTGCGTCTGGGGCCTGGCCAGCGTGTCCCCCAGCGGACGAGGGACCGCCTCGGCCGACCCCAGTCTGGGCGGCACGTCGGCCAGGTGGGGCTTGGGCGGCAGGTCCTTGAGCTGCGGCTTGGGCGGTAAGTCGGCCAGCTGCGGCTTGGGCGGCAGGTCGGAGAGCTGCGGCTTGGGCGGGAGTTCCCCGGGCTTGGGCGGCAGCTCTACTGGCTGCGGCTTGGGCGGCGGGTCGGCAGGCTGCGGCCGCTCTGGGGCCGCAGCCTTTTGTGGGGTGTCCGTCCCCGGCGGGGACTTCTGGAAGACCTCGGGGGGGAGGCCTGCTTTGTCCAAGGAGGGGTGGTGGATGGTTTCGATCTTACGCAACGCCACTGGAAACAAACGCATGCTCAATAATACACCTGCTAGTAATTAGAATATAACTGTAATAATAATGATAAATATAAAGCACACCTTTCTGAGGTAGTTTGGGAAGAACCCTTGGACCAAGTGTGGACTTTGTGTTGCTCGAAGTCGTACTGCAAGGATTTTGTTGTCGTTGTTTTTTGGAAAAATGACAGTCAAAGAATCAGCAACCCTCACACATTGGACATTTAATTAGGTACACCAAACCCAAATTTGAAACCCAAACACTCAGCTTGATGCCCTAACCCTCGTTAGCAACCCAACCCACATAGGAAACATTAACTCTGAAGCCAAGTCTTACAACCGGTTTTCAAACCTTAACTCTGACTTGAGTCTCTTTGATTGTCTTCAAACTCTCATTTGACCCAACAATCGATTTGAAAAGGCGAACTTTTCTGGAGGGCGTCCGTAATCCTGAGAGGGCCCGTCTTACCTCTGCTGCTGAGGGATGCCTTCAAACTTGTTGGAGACGGGTGACATCTTGTTGACGGGAGGCGGCGTGGAGTCGCTTCCTAAAGCGTCGCCAAGCGCGGCCACAAACACACGACACACACGTTACGCACGCCGCACGGTTGCTCTTCGGCTCACACAAACTTCAAAGCGCTCAAGGTGCTGGGATGACAAAATAGAATCATGGGATGGAGGGAGAGGGGAGTGGTCATCTGGCTGAGCTTTCCGTGCGCCCGAGACGCTTAATGGGCGCTATAGCGGCCGCTCACGTTCCACAGTCTGGTGTCGTCAGCATTATCATTTTGACATTCTACTTTGAGTGGGTGCTGCGCCGTGTTTTGTTTTTAACACACAATCAATTCATCGATAGAATGACAAATTCTGAAAATACTGTACAGATGGACAATTGTTGTTATTACTGTCTGTTTTTACAAAGCGCAGTCCTATGGGGAGCTCTTTTTTTTTTTTTTGTCGTTTCCATTCATTTCAAGAGAAAAAGCCAATTTGAGGTGTTCTATGTCGCGAGCGGGGAACAAAGCGTATTTGTTCGGGCACGGTGTTAATGTGAGGTCCGACTGGATACCGTGTGCTTGTGTCTCCTCCCCGGACAGGCCCCCTCTGATGTGACAGAGCGGGCCGGGCGGGTCGGACAGGGTGCGTTTGTGGCTGGGCGGCGGGGGCGGCGGCCTCTTCTTGGACAGGGTGGCGCTGCCTCCCGCCGTGAGTGCAGGCGAGGCGGCGGCGGCGGCCGGAGCAGCTGGAGGAGCGATAATACACACAAGACGTCAGCACCAGTACATCTCGGAGGTCCCCCGCCCACCACCACTTCACAAGTTCAAGGAGGAGATGAAGATCATGAGCGAGAGGAGGAGAGAAACGGGGAAGAGATCAGCTTTGTCCGAGCGGATAGATCGCAAGCGTCGCGTCACTTCCTGAGGACACCCAAAGGAGCACTTTGACGCAATGTTTTCACCTTCAAATATCTGTTGTCAAAACATGACTATTGACGCTAACTGTTAGCATGTCAATGACATTTCCCATTTATGGTAGCATTAAGCTAGTGGACCGTGCTCAAGCCAACATAAGTTTGTGTCTTTTAACTAGTCAAGGTGAGATTGTCTTTGTCTTCTGTTGAATTTAAGTGCAAACCTGAGCTGGGAGTGGCATTCAACAGCTTCACGCATCTTTTGGAAGAAATGTTTCATATTTGGCAAACTGCTGCTGGTTGTCAAATCAGCTGAGTTGAGTTCACTGCTACCATACTGCGCGCGCCTTTCTCAAGTTGACGATGGTTCATGTGTTGATGATTCCCAAGGCGGGCCACTCGTTTGTCCTGGCGGCAATGTGCGACAAATCGAGGCGACATTTTGATGCGGGTAAAACTTGTGTTTGAGCTTGTAGGACTTGCACTGCACATGGAAATGTATTGTTTGCACATCTCAATGTTTGATTTGAATTGACGTTGTCGTGGTTAAGTGGGAAGAAAGCGGCGACCAGAGAGCTCAGCCAGCGAGAGCGACCAGCTGCGGCTCACGTTTACAGCTCAAGAAAACAACCCAATTTGATCATCACCGCTGGCATTTTTTGTTCAGTGAGCCGCAAACGTGGCCAAACAGCGGCCGGGGGGTGGCGAGGGTGAGCGGGTGGAAGTCAAATGAGGATATTCACGGATGTATGGTCGAGTGCCAGCCAGTGTGGCGTAGTGCGAATGAGAGCCGAGGAATGCCAAGTGTGGAGCTGAAAGAATCAAAAAGGAGGGGGAAAAGAAGACAAAGAAAAAAAGAGAGCGAGATGAGGAGGAGGCGCGTGGGAGAGCAACTTTGCATCTTTTTGGTTTTTGGAGTCAAAAGCGAGAGAAAGGAGCTGCTGCTGCTGCTCCACACACGCGCCCCACAAAACAAAGTAGAGACACTCGGCAGCTTGCTGCTGCTACACTTATTTGACACTCCAAATAAACGGCCATACTTGTTTCAATCACTTTGCCTTTTAGTTGGCTGAGACGAAAAAAAAAAAAAAAAACACTCAGCGACCATTTGACTCCAATGTGATTGAATTTGCACACAGTGAAATGCTTAAAAATGTCAAATTAACAACAAAAATTGCTCAGGATAAAATGATATTTATTTTCAGTTTGAGTTTTATTCTTGAGCACGAGTGCTCTTGAATGCATCTATTATCGCAGACATTTGAACTGCAAAAAAGTATTTTTGGGACAATAATTTTTTTTCTAAATTCAGCATTATATTTTTCTGGGCTTATTTTTAAAATATACAATATTATTGTATTTACAAAAAATAGTACTGTTATTTAGTGCCCTGATTTCCCAATAAAATTCTAAATTTGAACAGCCGAAAATTGTTATGTTATTTTTGTCTGAGATTAAATCTTACTTTTAGTATGCGGGTGGTTTTCTTTCTTCATCAATTGCTTGTTGTTTTTTTTAGTTATTATTATTATTATTATTTTTAACCACAAAACGTTCTGGCTTTTGCGTCCATAAACTTTCCATTGTAATGAACACAACCTGATATTTTCATCTACCACTTCGGAAACTTGCGGATTCATTCTTCACAATTGCTTGTTTTTCATCCCAAATGACACTCTCTGGTTCTCAAGTCGGTTACACCTGCAACCGGTCAACCCACTGCTCTTATTGTGAACACAAGTGCATATATGCATTAAAGGTGTTCGTCACGGTACAAATGAGAAGCTTTTGCTTCATATTTATGCGTCAGGGAGAAAAAAGAAAAAACGCGAGTGACTGAAATGAGCGCCGGCGGCCGTGGCGGTGATGCGAACCTTTGCCCTGGTTCCTGGGCGGCAGCGGCGGGCCGTCGGCCACGGGCGAGGACGTGAGGTCGGTGGAGGCGCTGTACATCTGGTTGGTGAAGGCGCTGTAGGACAGCCGCTGCTGCTTGTCGCGCTGGCTGATGAAGCCTGGCAGCGAGAGCTTGTCGTGCGGCGACAGGCTGGATGAGTGGCAGAAGCTCTGTGGCCGCGGCGACCGGTCCTTCTTGATGGGACTGGGCTGCGGGACGATACGCGAGACGGTGTCACAGACGCTCGCCGCCGGACGGAAAACAAATGGCGACCAGGCACCTTGTCATCCAGATCATCGTCGCTCTCGTCCATCTCCTCCAGTCGAAGGCTCCACTCGTACTCCACGTGGATGTGAGGGTTGAATTTCCCCTCAGCCGCTTGCACCAGCTGACAAGCAAAACAGAAACGCTCACTCAAAGGCAGCCAGACCTCGGCCAAGCAAGGCCCAACAAGCCTCATTTGGATTCGCACCTTCACAAATCATCACTGTGTGGATAGGCCTCCATTTGGACAAATTGATTGAAATGGAGAACTTTTGGGGGTTTTTTTCATTGAAGTATTTCCATTTACAGTCAAATCTAGCCCGCCATCGAGGAAGTGACGCCCCCACCCCCAATCCCCACAAGTGAAACAAGTGAAAACGCTTTTGCAAGGGCGTCCATGGCAATGTGCAAACTCTCACCGCCTCCTCGCACGGTGCGTTCCTCAGTCGCCTGGCAACATCCAGCGCCGTCTCCCCGTTCTGATTGGCTGAGGGGGCACATGGCGGTCGACAGTTAGATACGCAAGGCTACACACGAGCTGGCGCTTGGCTGGGGCGGGTGCGACTCACTGATATCGGTGGCCGGTTTGCCCCTGAGGAGCAGCTTGAGGCACTCGGGCTTCTCGTACATGCAGCAGTAATGGAGGGCCGTGTTGCCCCATTCCGTCTGCTTGTCCAGATTACCGCTACAAGGCAAAAACATATAATCACTCACTCAGCCAGTCTAGAAGACTTCCAGAGTCCACACAATGGTAATTGGTCAAAAACTAGGAACAGACTTATCATCACTCCAACCGATAATGGGCATTTTGGGACATAGCAGCACCAGCATTTTTCCCCCAAATGTGACAGCCGAAAAGAGATCAATTTCAAGTAAGACTTTAATTGCTGAGTGCTCTCCACGTGTTTTTGCTGGACAAATAAGAAAAAACTGTATACATATGAATGTATGTGCATTTACCTGTTTTGCACCAGGAAGTCCACTAGGTGCAGCGAGGTGTGGTCAGCTGTCCGGACTGAGTAGTGCAGCGCCGTCTCTCCCACTTCCTGCAGGAGGCGACAAACACAGCAGCAGGCGGTCAGCCTGTCTGCATCCAGTCACTGACTCCGCATCGCTTTTGAACAACAAGCTGTCCGCCATGAACAAAATGGCTCCTAAAACTAAAATAATAGACACCTGCCTACCGGCCAGGCAGATACAGCAGCCAAGTTGACACGAGGCCATAAATTTCACTTGAAATAAGCTGGATGACATCAGGCCAAAGAAACGTTTGAACTATTTTCCAAAGACTTGCATGCGTTTGAAAACTCAATCAAGTAGCACATCCGGCGATGGCAGGCGATTTGATTGACTGACCGGGCCGGCCTCAGGCAGCGGCTCCATGAGCTCCACGCCCTCGGCGTAGACCTGGACCAGGGCCAGCAGGTCACGGGCGCGCACCGCCTCGTACAGGTCCATCATCTTGGCTGCCGCCGACGAGCACGTCTTGCGGGCGTACTTGTGGTCCACATACTTGGCGTTGATGAACTCCTTCCTCACCGTCCTGACAAGGGGTTGACAAGTACGTTGACAAGAACATTGACGGAACGGCGACGGTGTTTGCCTTCCTGCTGGCGCGTGTACTCACATGTCGCTGGAGGGGCCGGGCTTGGGCGAGGGGGACGGCAGGTTGCCCTCCATGATCTCATTGAAACTACTGTTCCCGATGTTCTTGGCCAGCTAAAAAAGAAAAAGAAAGTCTTTTCAATGCTGAAGACAGACAGCAGAGTCCAAGCAAATACAAATAAATACATGGACAGTGAACTGTACAATGTCACGTAGTTTCCTGTTGACGTAACAAATGAGATCACAAGATCAGTATACAGGTAATTGTGGTGGTTGGACTTTTTAACGTGTCCCTGTGTTGCCTCCTCGGTCGGATGTATGGACCTACCAAGAGTTCTGAGGTGCCCAGTTTGTCGAGCTCCATGGACTGGATGCGGGAGATGTGCACGCCCATTTCTCGGTGGATGCCGGAGCACTCGATGCATGTCAGGATGCCCAGGTTGGTGGACAGCCATTTGGGATCTACGAGCCGGCGACAGACACATGTCAGCACAAAAGGGGCGGCGTCATCGTGCGTCCGAGGCTTCAACTGCGCTTGACGGTCGCCGCGGCGATGCCCAAAGACCGAGGGAGTTTCGCACAGACATTTGTGGAACTATTTTTCCTAAGACTGATTTCCTTGCTGGCTACTGGGGGAATGCTCTTGTTTCTTGTATGCTAATGTCTATTTTCATTGTCCTCATTGACAGTTGAGCACACAGAGCCAACATGGAATCCATCCATTGACTTGCAAGTGGTATTCATCCACATGACTACCGTTGTAGCATCTTTTATCATCTAGCTGTCTTGTCCTTATTTTTAAACCTTTTTTGGGGGGGCCGCTTTTCGACTGCAGTGACTGACTTAATGGCAGCGCCGGCTGATGAATTGATGCAATGTGGGACAATTGAAAAGGGCAGCTCAGCGCTTTTGTGCTCATCTTGCGGCGTGCATGCAGAGCGTGCGAGAAAGATGGATAGAGAGGGAGGGCGGACGGTGCGAACGTCAGAGACCTTCCCCCTCCCCAAAAAAAGAAACTGAAAGTACTGAGTCACACTAGCACAGAGGCAGGGTAGTCCAGATGTGAGGCAACGGTCGCACGTTGCGCATGTTGAAAGGCTGCTGCCTGGCTGATGAAAGCCATGCACGGAGGGTGAATAATTTGACTGCCTCTCATTCCAACTGCACTTAATAGCGGTGACGGATTACAATAAAAATGAAGACAATGCGACTTAGCATGCGTGCAGGCCTCTCCCAGCTGCTTGTGTGACTTATGTAACAGCGTGATGTAACAACGAGGAGCAAAAAGCCTAGAAATGCTTAGGAGGTGGTGTCTCTGGGCCCTACCTGCCGCGCCACAGTCGCAGCACAGCTCGTTGCCCGGCATGCGCAGCACATCCTCGATGATGGCTTTGGTGAGGTCCTCTAGGCCGTCCTCGCCGCCACTGCTTTGCTCGCCGCGGAAGGCCATGTTCAGGGCCTCCTCCTTGCTGTTGGTCAGCACCGAGATCCAGCTGTGCAGCGAAACAAGGCGCTGTCGTGGTCAGAACTCAACAAAAATTGTGTTCCCCGGTGTTCTCATTGTGTGGAATCAGGCTTTTGCAAATATTTGGTTGGAATGCACTGACCAACATTGTTGCCAGTTTCCTGCCGTGTTACATATTGGAACTGATTCACACCCAACTGATATTTTTGCATTATATGAAAAAGAAGAAGAATAAAAAAAGAACATTTTATTGATCAACAGTCTGATTCTTTGATGAAGGTTCAATTCATGTGTGCTCGTTGTTCTCCTTGCTGGGTAGGTTGGAAAATGACACTTTCATTCATGTCAAAACAGGAGGTCGGAAATTCGTCAGAGCTACCATTTGTGGCCTGCGTAATCACAGGCTTGCTACAGCTCGATTCAAGACTTTTTAATTCCATTTCAAGTTAAATTGGAGATCAACTTCACAACGTGGTCCTAAATGCCTCGAGGAGTGTACCTAATCTTGTGGCCAGTGGAACTCATTTCTATTCTCATCATTAAGCCAAAATCTGCGTGCAGTCTGAATAATTGCTCTTGCGCAAACGAGGTTAAGACACACAAAAGACACATGGGCACACATGGGTTCTACTGCAGGACAGATGGGAAATACCACGCCTGCATTTCAAACGTGGCATCCCGCAGTTCCCGACATGGCACAATCTGCTCGCAAACACCACAAGAGATGTGCTTGCGTGCAAAAAAAAAAAAAAGCCTCTACTGACAAGGCACTGCTAATTGAGTGACTGGGAGGGCTGAGTGCTGCTGGGGAACACTGAATATTTCATCAGGCACGCTGCGGAAGACGCCACCGCTGACAATGTGCGCGACGGCGAGGGAACGCTAGCAGTACAGGCGCCAATCTCAGTGGAACACCATCAAGCCCGGCCCGGAACCACCTACGGCGTTTCACATGATGTGTTGGCAATCAGCTGCCACACTCTGCGTTCTCCTGTGAAGCATTTTCATCAATTTGAAGCAAGGACCAATTTGGGGAAATGTTGCCTTATTGCTAATTCTTGCTAATTTTAACACTTTCATTTTGGGGAAATCTTGTCATGTCGCCAGTCCAACCTCTGATTGATTGATGAATTGTACTCACATGACAAACTCTTGCTCATCCTCAGCTTGGAAATGATACGTGCGGTTATCTGCGGGGGGGGGTGTACACAAATCGTCAGTGGTAACAGGCGTGACGACGCGTTTCATGTCCGCGTATACTCACGGGAAATGAGATCAAAACACTTCCTGTCCTCGGCGCTGGGTTTGACCTGGCAGGTGAGGAGGTTGAGCTTCACCGGCTGCCTGTTGGACTGCAAGGAAAACACGGGCCCGATTAGTGTTGCAAAATACCATCACTCACTGGCAATCATTTGGGCGTTTGCCACATGCACACATTATAGGCGAAGAAGTGCTGCCTCTACCAGTGAAAATGATGTACTGCCGCTACTGGCTTTGTTATTTATTTCTGTCATGTGTATTTTCCATCAAATATTAAGTTTCCCCTCCCCAAATATTTTGTATTAGTTTCAATTCTTTTGGCATATTGCTTATTTTGACAAACAAAGGCCTGTTGTTTGGACTTCATTAAAATGCAATATTTGTGTAATTTTCATTTAATATTTGCAGGGTATTTACTATACTCATTGTGATCCCTCAGAGGGAATTTTGTATTATTTTCAGATATTTTTGTCACAATTCTAATGTTGACCATAGTCTGCCCCAGACATGTTATGAAGACACCTGGCAACCGCTGACAGCTATAACAGCAAATGCATCATAGCTCTGCTTTCATGAAAAGTGGAGTGACTTGGATAGTTCAGCCCAAAGAAGCGGTTGAATAAGTGAACTGAAGCGTGCTCGAGATGGGGGAAGAAAAAAAAAAAAGTCAGTTCACATTGCCCCGAAGTCTGGCGAGCTACTTCCAGCACACAGCCATGATGTCAGCGCCTTGGACGCGACCACGGGCGTTATATCCATCCGGCTCGTCATCGTCATCCAGATTTTTTTTCTCATTGTGCATGTCCCATGTTCAAGAAAAAGCTACCCTTTCCCCAACTCGGTTGCTGCTGCACAAGCGTGCACTGCTGCCGCTATAGCGCGCATACACGCACGCACATCCACGGATGAGTCACCCTGGAACAGCAGGCGGAGGGAGGAGGGACATAGTTGCCATGGCAACCAATCTATGTCAATTCCACCAGAATGCACGCTTGCACGTGAGGAGGGGAAAAGAGGGAGGAGGGGGGTAGAGGGGGTCAGGGAGGCCCTCTGTGTGTCTGTGTGTGTGTGTGTGTGTGTGTGTGTCTGTGTGTGTGCACTCACTGTGGCATGAGAGATGGTGAGGATGCCCCCCTTCACCGAGCACTGCCTGCGCTGCCACACCTTTCTCAGCCTACGATGGGTGCAAAAGAGACAGCCGGAGCTTTGAGTTTGCTCAACCTTTCCTGGGACGCGGCAGACGTTTGAACAAATGCGGTGGGAAAAAAAAAAATCACAAAGCACAGCACCAAACTAAAATGTCGCAAAACAATTATATACTGCGGCGCCTTCAGATACGGGCTGGATTCGCTCCGTGATCACGCTCGCAATTTGAAACACTCCAATCATCTTCCCCCATTGAAAAGAATGGAGGAAAAAATTGCACTCTGTCTTTTAAAAAAATCATGGAGTCACAACACAGTAATGGAACAGAATGTCAAGAATTAAACAGTTTGTGCATCATGATTTATGCTGCAATCTCATTCAATGTTCCGTGCCTGCATTAGCCTCCGGGATCTGTCTAAATGCGTTGCTCCAGTTTGTGTTGGAATATTTGTTGCTTCAAGATTTCTCCTTTTAGCACACGATGCATCAACGGCATTTTCAAAATATGTTAGCATTCATCTAAATAGACTCTGGTAGGGCAGAATGATGTCATTGTTTAAAATCTAGTCTGTTTAGCTTTGTAGTAAACTTGAGTGGGGAGTGCCGATTGAAAGTCAAAGCAAAACAAAATCATCTGACGGATGGTTGATATGAGTCGAGCCACTGATACCCGGAGGCGCCAGTGCAATTGGTTGTCTTGTGCGTAAAGCCCGAGTGGGCTGGAGAGGAAAGCGAGCGGTCCGTGCGGGGCCCGGCGCCGGCCTTACCCGTCGCTCTTCTTCAGCAGGTAGCCTTTTTTCTCGCTGCCAAATTCCTTGTTGCCCTGCAGCTGGTGCATGCTGTAGCCACCTTGCTTACTCTGCGAGTCCTAAAAGGCGCACAAACGGCAAAATGAAACCTGCACCGCGCCACAGCGACAGGCCGCACAAACATGCAGCAAAATATAAACTCACTCACTCACTCACTGAGAAAGTGTGGCAAGAATGCTGAGAGTTACGACTCATACCACTCGTAGTAAAACTTGAATATCGACATCAAAGAGGAGAAATTATTTCGATGAGATCAATTTAAATTATTTAGAAATATATTAGAAGCTGAAGAAGGAAAATGGTGACGTTAAAGATAAAGAAATAAAGTTGTTGAAGAAAGTGTGCTTCAGCCAAAAGATGCAAATTTTGTTCATGAACGTCATTGAAAACCGATGTGAAATGACAACGCAATTACTTGCTGTTCACACTTAGCATTCTTTTTTTTTTTCCCCCACGTTACAATGTTTGACTCTCAGCATCCCCGCTCCCCATCCGCGTGGCCGCTAGCATGCTGCGTGGGCTGCGGCGCACTCCTGAAAGTCACGCGGCACAGACAAAATGGCAGCATGCTCCACATGCAGCAGCAGCAGCACTTACTCTTCTAGACTTGATTCCAGACAAGCAGAAGAAGGTAGTGAGGAGGGGAAGGAGACAGACGGGAAAGGTGTGAAACATCCTGGCTCAGATGTCGCACGTGTGGTTATGTTGGGTGTCGCACGGTTCTCAATTATAGCCTGCAGCGTGGGGGGGCTAATTGCCAAGGGAGGCTACAGTGTGAGTGGATGTGGTCACAATGCATGGTGTGACATGCACAAGAATGCACCCGATTATTGCCCCACAATTGGTGAAAATGTGCAATATGGCTATGGCGCGTTTCCAACACATGCCAACTAAATGAAAAGACATTTTGTAAAAAAAAAAAAAAAAATTGCATGGGAGAATATCATACATCATTCTGAGAAACCGAAATGAGGACTCGCTCACAGTTTTGTTTGTTGCTTGCAGTTGCCACAGGCAGTGCAAGTTAACCATTAAAACAGGAGAATTCAACATTGTACTTTATTGAAAGACCGAAGTGTTTCACTAAACCACATCATATTTCGGTCTGCTGGCCTGATGCGAACCAATCATGCCAAAGGGATGATAGCTCGTCCTTTTACATCTTCACACAACTGCACCTTTATCACACAGAGAGCGGCAAGACTTACAAAGAGAACACAGTACAATGCTCACAGGCATCTCTTTTCTCCGCCATGTCGGATGGATAACTTTTACTGCAGCTAAGCAGTGCAACTTTGCTTTTCTTCTTGCTCTTCATTACACTGCATCGCCTGCAGTAGAGCTCTCTGCTGCCAGGCATGTTGTGGCACAGAATGTGATTCTATATTTAAAGCGGGCAACACAAAATTGCAACACAGGAAAAACCCATGAAAAGGGCTGCCTCCAAAATCTGCTTTCTAGCGAGCGAGCAGGCACAACTTCAGGTATTTTTTTTCTCACCTGATGCTAAAGGAGGACCTGACCCATACATACAGGGGGTGAGAAAATTATTTTTTTCAAAATATAATGATCATCAATGAAACGCTGCAGGGGCGCAACTGCGTCGACGCAGACTTGTGATGGTGCTGCAGCGAGGGTTGACTGTACGATTGAACCCGACTGCTGAACTAAAAGCAATCAACTGAATCAAGTCGTTGTTCAGCGTGTGTTGTGCCTGCGAAAATGGGTTGTAAATGTGTGCGTGCGTGCGTGTTACCTCCTTCTGGTCCAGCTGGAGGGAGGACTTGATGAGGTCGCGCAGGGCAGTCAGCTGCTTCTTCTCCTCATCCTGGGTTTGTTTGATCTGGATGCAGGAATTGGAAGTGTGGTTCAAACACAGGGGGGGAAAAAAAAAAACCTTGCAAGCAAGCGTGACCATGAGAAAAGGCAAAAGGAGACGACTTACGTTGTAGAGGTCAGCCGCCAATTTCTCAATGTACTGCTTCAACTTGTCGGCCGTCTTCAAGCCGTCTTGGAAGAAACTGCAACAGACGGCCCGCTTTCATTTACATTTGAGATTTCGCGTACAGTGCCATTATTTGGTGTTGTTTCATAATGTGAAAATTCTACAACGTTGACATGGGCCGCACATAGTTTTACGTCATGGGCAAAGTTTTTTTTTTTTTTTTTTTAATTAGAATGAGATATATTTACACAACATTATAATCTGCAATATGTATAATCCTGCAAAATAAAAAATATGATACAAAACGGATTCATTGATGGGGACCGGCGTCCCATTCCATACACCTGCGTAGCATCACCACCAGACGTAGAAACGCAAAGAGATGATTTGTCATTGCATCGCCGGGGAGACCTCACAGCTGCCGCAACATACCCGATCGATTCCTTATTTGGCAGCTCAACATTATTCCCATAAAACCAGGGAAAGCGGCTTGCTTGCTTACTTGCACTGCGCGTGGTAATACTTAATGAGGTTCTGCAGGAGGTCCACGCCTTTCTTGGTCTTGATCTCATTCACTTTGATCAGGTACTGCAACGCAAACACACAAAAACCACACACGCTCCCACATTAGTCTCATTTTTCAATCCGCACCCTTTTCCCCATTTTTCAAAATAAAAGCCCCAAATTCCCAAATCTCGCCAGACGGCGTTGTCATTAAATAAAAGCAGGACAGATAATCTGAGCTAATCCCGCAATTGGAAAGACTCCCCAGCGAGGGAATGGCGACAGATATCGCGGCGCTGACCGAGGGGGTGAGAGTGTGAGATTAATCTGCTGATTGAGTAACGTGACCCGTGGCTTGCGGGTTGTTGGTGCAACCACCAAGGGAACGCAAGTGACAGCCACAAACGAGGTTAATTTAATGAATGTGCCACAGACGGCCCTTTGCATGCGACACTAAACAGACACTCGATGCTCTGATTCAAAACCAGTCCCAATATTTGCCATTTCCGGCAAATAACTGGGCATGAAAAACGAGGCCTTGGAAGTTAAATAAAGACGGGGAAAGTTGTAAAACAAACAAACAAATAAATAAATGAATCAGCTCCTGACACCAGTTTGTTGGCTGACATGAAACTGATGGGAGACATGTCAAGCCGAACGGGGCGCAAACAAAATCTCCAAGCACCCAGGCGCAAACCTGAATTGAAAGCTGGCCATTTTGGTTCCAAGTAGACATTTTGGGGGGATTTCAGGTCATTTATGAGGCCATTTGCCCCAACGGGCCAATTATACGCAGGCATCTTGAGATAGATTTTGCCTAGCAGACCCCATCAAACTGATGGGAGACATGTCTAGCCGAACGGGGCGCAAACAAAATCTCCAAGCACCCAGGCGCAAACCTGAATTGAAAGCTGGCCATTTTGGTTCCAAGAAGACATTTTGGGGGGATTTCAGGTCATTTATGAGGGCATTTGCCCCAACGGGCCAATTATACGCAGGTATCTTGAGATAGATTGTGCCTAGCAGACCCCATCTCACCTCGTCGGACTGAGAGTGTCAAGTTGTGGTGATCGACAATATCTCACAGGTGGTCTTTTTCCGCTTGATCATCTCTATTTTGCACTTTTGGAGTGGCCACAGTTGGCAGCGTGAGGGAGGAAACGAGGCAAAGACTGCGTGGAACATGTGGGCAGGGAGGAGCGGCAGGGCAGCTCAGCTTTTTCTTTTCTGCAGTGAATAATTCACACGGCCAACAGCAGCGCCGGCGCAGGAGCCACTTTTGCGTTATGCAATTGCAGTCGACAAAATCTCAAGCGAGGCGTGGGCCCACATGGAAAATGCCATTCTGTGAGAAGGAATTTGGAGAGCTTTTTTTTTTTTTTTTTAATGACCTACCTCGCACATCTGCAGCTGGAAGAGCCGACGCTCCTTTTCCATCTCCTCAGCAATCTCGGCTCCGGTGATCTCAGTGCGGATCATCCCGTGCTGCTTGGCGTGCTCCCGCTTTTCCTTCTCGATTTTGGTGCTGCATGACAAAAAAACGTGGCAGGCTTTGACCGATGCGGATATACTGTACGTGCGCAACATGATACGAGCCGTACTTCTACACGACGGTAATTTAGGGAGAAATCGGGGCTGGTTTGGTCAAGGTTGACATAAGCGTAACCGCCAAAACTGTTGTGCCGTGGTACATGAGAAGGGCTTCCCCAAGTCGCTGAGCAAACCAAAAGCGACCAACCAAAATGTGTTGACAAATCGTCAAGTTTGACCATTATACTCCAACTGGAAGCTTTTTGTTTGGACCAGATTTTCTATTGGCCACATCACACAAAGACACGCACAAAGGGCAAGAGGCCGACTTACAACTTGGCCTCGTAGTCCTTCCAGGCCTTGTCAAAGGGCTTCTTGATGTCCTGCGCAGACACAACAGAGGACAGGACAAGTGTCAGCGCGCTTCAACCAGCGAGTTATTTGTAGACTTTTGGACCGACACCAGCGGCCTGTCAGGCGCTTTGCTTGCTCGGAGCGGCCCCGCCCCGCCGCCATCGTCATCATCATCATCAACGGCAGAGTTCATGACCCATTTCTTCCATCACAACACAGACGCGGTGTTTACTTGAGCCAGCTTTCCAGTGCAGTCATTTAAACAGCCGCTTTGACTCCCCCTTTAGCCCCCTGTGGTCTGTTCACACTGTCCCCGCCGAGTATGCACATGCGCAGCGGTTGGGAGGCGTATGGCGGGATGTGCTGACGCGGTGTCCGCTCGCTTTCCGCTCAGCCGCTCCTGAGTCGTGGCCGACAGAAATGAGAGTGCGAAAGAGAGCGACACCTTACCCCTTTGACACCTTTCAAGTCTCCTTTGAGTAGCGAGTCCAGGGTGAAGATTACATTGTGGCTCAGGCTCTGCAGCTAAGGATGAAAAACAAAGGGAGGCACACGTTTGGAGGTCAGAATAGTTGAGCAGATGACAGAGTGGTATCGTGGTATCAGGTGTTGTAGTATGCGATCGCGCTTATGAAGACGAGTACAAGTATGAATACAGACGTACAATATCGCACATGCCCGTCCATAAAGTGTCTCTGTTACTGATTGTCTTCCGAAAGCAGCACCATGTACTTAGCACTGCCTTGCTTCACAGTGAGTAAAGCCACTCTGATGAGCTCAGACTGGGGTAAAATAAATAAATAAATACATTCAAAAAATATGTAACCAATAAATAGACACCAGGTGAGGTTGAGTGAGCAAAAGCAAAGACGAGCATTGCTCAGCGGCTCTAACCATTCGGCCCAGCAATGTTGTTTACAGCACGACTACGGCCCCCCCAGCCCACACACACACACACACACACACACACACACACACACACACACACACACACACACACACACACACACACACACACACACACGTACACAAACGTTGAGCAGCAATCAAGGACGTAAACAACACTTAATGGGCACTAATGTGCTTCTTAAAAGCCATGCCTTTTAAAAAAATCTTTAACTGGCTGCCTTCCGGAAATCCTGGAAGACCATGAGGGGGGGAAGAAAACCCCCCACTGAAAATGTACACTGAATATACAGCTCATCTATAAATTCCTTATGTCGAGCCTGCGGAACAACCGGCACCGGCTATCGTTCATTCGTCAACAAGCCATCTGTGGCATGCCTTTTTAAAAACATACGCTAGTGTGCAATGCATGCTTCCGTATTTTTTAAACAAGCGTACATTTTACACTGCCTGCGTCTAATAATGCAGTGTGTCTTGTCTATGTGTTAAATACAGAAATAGCACCCGTAACTGACACTGCGCCTTTAAATACAGTGCGCCATATGGTCGTGAAAATATGTTACTGTTTTTGAAGGGGGTGGCGGGGTTTACTCATGACACACATGCCTAGAAACTTGACTTTTTAAATACCTTGTTAATGTTCTGACCTTCCCTGCCACAAAGCAAACCCGGAACCTCGCTTAATCCTAATCCACACACATAAACCAATTACGCAAGTGACAACCAATATAATCTCTCCCCTCACTTTAACCGCCAGTGGGCCAGAGGAAACACATATCCCCGCAGCATTTTGGCTGGCACGCATAAGATTTTGGACTCACCAGGTTCTTCAGGAGGGCTGATAGCTCCTTGGTAAGTGAGGAGAATTTGACAAAGGCAGTGCCCAAATCAGGGTTGTCCCGGCTGATGAAGTTGCTGCCAAATTTGTCCAGAGCTTGAGCATAGTTTTCCTCATTTTGGACATGATCTGTCAGACAGAAAGGGAAAACAACATTCAGCGTTTCCTGGCATCTGTGGCTAAGGATTAGCATTAGCTTGATGACCAGAGAGGTTTAGTTTGGTCTGTTTTTGTCACTGGCCTGTATGGACAGTTGATAAACAAACATCGATGTTTGTTTCTGTTTGATCCCCTTAGTTGTGGAGTCATTTTCTGGTTCGTGGCAATGGCACTGGTTAGTGTTCCGAACCCTTCGAATCATCTTCAAAACCTATGCTAATTTCGCATAGTTTCACAAGATGTTCTAATCTATCCAGTGCTAGCTACTTAGCAACAAGATAAATGCTAACTATTGGAGACACACTGGCAACAAATGTTCATATTTTTGGGTTCTGACTCCCTGGATAGCCAATCAACAAATGTGTTAGTTTCCGTCGTGTCTGAGTCATTTGCGGACTCTGCAAGTATTAGTGTAGCTTTCTGGCCATTCTCGATTCTATGGCCAAAGGCTAAAGCTAACACGCTAACACATTGGGCACCCATCTAACACATTGGGCACCCATATTATCTTGTTTCTTTGATTGCAGAAACAAATTAACTCTTCAGTCAATATGCTGACATGGGCATTTCTTCATGTCTGGTCTTTAAGTAGCTGCGGAGTCACTTTCTAGCTGGTAGCGGCACGGAAACAAATAGTGAAAGTAACTTAAGTTTTGTTATTACATTTAATCACCTGAAAGCTAAAAAAAACCCCAAAAAAACTCATATTCGTGGCTTGTTGTGAAACTGAAATGAGGATGTAAGTAAATATCATGACCCGGTGACTAAAGCGCCTCCGAGTAACCTGAATGTAGCACAGCTGTCTTCCAAATGTTTCACTTTTCATAGTTTTTCCTGCATTCGTGAGTTTTAAAGTAAACTTTCGACATCTGGAACTGCCAATTTAGGAAGGATGGAGCGACAGGAGGAAATGTCCAGAGGGGAAAATTACTTGGGATTCATGTTGTGGTGATGAGCAAAAGAAACTCAGGTGTTGAGCGCCTGGATAAATACACAAAATGCCACCTGTCCTACAGAAGACAATGGAGACCGAAAAAATTGTTTAATTAGAGTGATTTCATGGCTGGATTTGACATTACTAAGAGGTGAAACGGTAAGTCCAAAAATCACAGCTTGGTTTAAAAAAAAAAAATCTGCAATGACTGAACCGCAATATATCAAGGGAAGACTGCTACACCTCTACGAAATAACAACAATTCAACATTACACAGAGTTTTAGTTGGACAAGACAGCTTGAACTTGGTCTTACCTTGTCCTGAATTGTAGATGGCTTTGACGGATTTCTTCACCTTCTGCAGAGAGGTTCGGTCCTGGTCAAGCGCCTGAGGAAAAGGGAGGATAAATGGTTATCATAGTGCAACAAATAACTCATAGTTTCCGCATTGCCGCCATTCACATTCTCAATCAATCAATGAGAACACGGCCACAACAATGAGGAGACTCATTACTCTGCGGACGGCATTTCCGGAAGATTTCAAATGTAATTTGCTCTGTTTCCTGTGCATATAATGCATGGCAAAGGTGCCAACAGGTCACAGCCACGGCAACTCGTAAGTAATGACAAACATCAGCAAAGTGGGGAGACACCAAGGTTCAGTTAAGAGCAAAGCGCGCACACGCACACGCACACACACACACACACAAGCAGGCTAATTGGACTAAACAACATCATGAAGCCACCCATGGCCTTCCCTGGACGTTTTTACATGGCTCGTCCGCAATTATCTCAGCGGTATTTTGTCGCCGCAGGGGCCCTTTCCTTTGCTCTTTCCGCCGACCCACACTGTTTAGCCCTCATCTGTCAGGCCGGACGGTGGCGGGTACAGACCCCCCCCAGGGATGATATAACACCAAATGCTTAGGCGGCACAGTGGCGGCTTGACGTTTGAACTGAATTCTATCTTGTAACTCAATTGACTTGCCAAATCAATTTCCCCCTGAAAGGGAATTGAAAAACCCTCGGAGCGCTCGACAATTTCATTAACGCGCAACCCGCACGGCCGAGCGGGTGAGCCAGGCTGAGATTATTCGGCGTAAAAATGTAAGCGGCAAAACTTCCCTGATTCAAAAAATCGACCCACGTGTTTATTGTTGTGGTTTGCAGTCACGTTGCAATGCAGCAAGAGCCGCTTCAAATATTTGAAATGCCTCTATGGGCTACATAAGTGCACCTCGACAGCATGACCCCATAATCAAGCATTGTTAATGTTAAATGACGCAGACACATCAGTTAAAACTGTGTCTTTATAGTCTTTTTAGTTGTAATGTGAGTATTTGTGCTCAGATGTAACGGTAAGAGAAACCATGAGGCACCAATGTCTTGACAGCACACTGTCCAAAACTTGACCCTCGCTCTCTCCCTCTCTCTCTCTCTGAACATCGTCTGAAGGATTTTTTGCAACTGACAGGAAGATTCGAAGATGAGTGGAAGCAGTGATGACGATGACCCATCTACGACGACTTACTGAGCAGCAAAGAAGTAAAGTAGTCCGCATGCTTTTTTTGTCCCTTGAGGGAAGTCCATTTATGTGTGTCAACCTGACGGTGCCAGAAGGATTTTAAATGGAGGTCTGTCGAGTAGGAGCAATAGATAAGATGGTCCTAAAGAGACCTACCTAGGAGGGATGACAAAACCACATTTCCTGGTTCAGTTCCCCTCACCACAAACGGAAATTGTAGGCGGGACTTTAACAGAGCTGTGAACTTTGTGTGAAATTCCGCTGTCACACATACATGTAATGATTTTTCAAATCTTAAAAAAAAAAAAGTATGTCTGTGACATGCCTAACACGTGAAGATCCAAAAAGAAGGCATTTAACAGGTTTGGTCGTCTTGTGTGGGGTGTGCTCCGATTGTCTCAACACAAAATATCACACACACAGATTCGGTTCCAGGCCTTGCTTAACTCAGCAAGCAGTAACTGCTGAAAATGGACCACTGCGGTCCATGGCAAGGAGGTCAGAGTCACAGGAAACCCTGAGTGGGCACAAACGATGGCGAGGTCGTCTCCGCTTCACGCTTCCTGCATCAGGCCTTATCCCCCCTCAGCAGGCCGAGCGTTTCCCATGCAGCCGTCCTTTGACAGGAATCATGAAGCGGTCAGGCTAGTCTGTGTCCCACACGGGTTGCCCACGCTCTGTCAAAATGACACCAAACGCTCAACATCAAGGTGTTGTGTCGATCTGGTGCTTTTTCGACCAATTCCTTCATCTGGACATTGCCATGGAGACGGGACATGGTCACCTCACACGCTGGCACAAAATTCTTTAGCGCAGAGTTTGCTGGAGGATGCGGCGGCCAACAAGGCCAGCTGGGGGTTTTTTCCCCCCCTTTGTCGTCAAGACCTCGACTGTTTTCAAGTTTTTGAGTATCCCGGCACACAAGTTTGGAGAAGCGCGAATATTCTAATTATAGCCATGAAGCAGTGGAAAACAGGAAAGGGCACAGAGAAGAAAGGACTTCCCCCGTAAGCCGGGATAAAAACACATCTCGCTCGGCCGTTACTTTGAATGCCAACGACATCTGCTTCTGCTAAAAGCAAGATGAGACATCATGAGGCCATTTCGTGAGAATTTGGCGCCGTTGAAGAGTTGAAAAGACAAATCAGGAAGTGATTTGAGGACACATTTTAACTGTAGAAACGAGGAACTTTTGCCCAGAATTAAGAATTTAGCCTGGAACTGACAGCTTTTACCAAGAACTGGCAACTTTACCTCTAAAACGAGGATCTCTAAGCCCAGATCCCGAAATGTTAACCCACAAATTAGGAATTAGTGTGATAAACAGTTATTGTTCTTGTTTTGATTGTAAAGTGTCCTTGAGTGTTTTGAAAGGCGCTTATAAATGAAATGTATTATTATTATTATTATTATGTAAGATTCCACAGAAATTAAATGGACTGTGATCGTATCCATTTTCCATCAGGTCATCGTCAGCGCTGCGATCTTTCCGCCATGCCGTGATATTACGGTTCAGACCAGTATCTCGCGAGCCACGTTTTGTTTTCGTGTTTATATCCTTCAAGCATAAATAGCTTTTTCATCGCAGGATTCGCATCTCAAAGTAGGAGCTAACACGTTGCTACTCAACAGCAAGACTTAAGTAAAGTCTGAAAACTGATTCAGCCCATTCGTCGGTTTAGCCGTGGAGTCTCTGTGACTGGATGACTCAAGCAGGAAGGGTGGGGAAGCGTTTCCATTGGCAGGAAGCAAAAACGCATCTCTCTCTCTCTCTCTCTCTCTCTCTCTCTCTCTCTCTCTCTCTCTCTCTCTCTCTCTCTCTCTCTCTCTCTCTCTCAACACAGTGCTTGACACAGTCCGTGGAATGGGGAAAATAAGAGCATGGAGCTGCTGAGGTCAGACGGCACAAACACTCACAGGGCGAAAACATCTTGGGTGCATTCCAGGATTCTAATTGCTTGTTTTAAGCAGAAGCCATCTGCGGTTTGGCTTGTGACGCTTGCATCTTTTCACCGAGCCATGTTTTCCCCATCACACCCACACAAGGTGAAGCACGGGATAACAAATGCTATTTTTTTTTTTTTTGTTTGTTGGTTGGTTTTGCACCTGTCAGGAAGCCGTTACTCATGTAACAGCAGCTGTTAGATTGTTCTGTTACAACGGGAGAAATGGTGGGAGGAATGGCGGGAAATGCAACAAAACCACAAAAGTAAAAAAACTCAAGGGCGACACTGATAATTAATCCAGTCAGTCGGCATACTGAATATCCAAACTTCAACCGCTCACACCAACACAAAAGTAATAATAATAATGTCATAAAACTCATTCAAAAATAATCAAGTGTGCCTACGCTCATATCGCGCATGTGGGTGGAAGTTCCCAGCCAAGCTTGCTTTCAAATTTGGACGCCGTTCGAGTCTTTGCTGTATGCTCGCACCCACGCGTGTGCCGAGGCCAAGCACCTTCAACAACTAGCAGCAAAAGAGAGACGCAAGTAATGTTTATCCCCCAGGCTACAGCAGGGCAGCCGGCCCGTCAGAGCGAAGCATCATCTGCTGGACCTGCAGGCTTGCACTTGAGGCCAGCGTTAGCGTTAGAGCCGCTCATATTGTCAGGGAGGAGGACAAGGAGGAAGATGAAGACAAGATGGTGGCCGCATCTTTACATTTGCAACTTAAGCAACATGCGATTCTGGAAACCACGGAGCAAAATGAAAAGATGGTTTCAGTCATGTCGTTTTCTAAACAGGACCTGTAAGGGAAGCATCCGTTCAGTCTCAAAGGAAGTTATTCCATTCATAATTCTGGGATGAGTACTCAACAAAATTGGAAATATCAGAATTATTTAAAAATAAATACCAATTAATTTGAAAAAACAAAGCCGCTCGTTTTCCGTCCGAGGCCGAAATCTGATAATCGGCCAGCGTGTCACAGCTGCTGGCAAACCGTCACCACAGCTGCACTGCGTATATCACCGGGGGCTGTTAGGCGCCGGCGGACTGCCCCACCGCCCCCTTCTGACCCGTTGGCACCCAGTGATCCCCCCACTGTGCTCTTGGCCAGATTAAAGTGAGAAAGAGTGGGTCAGTGTTGGCATCTGTCTGGATGTGAGCCTTCTCACTCCTACACGCGCGCACGAAAGCAAGGATGCTCTTCAACAAGGCGTACTGTTCGGCTGTGGCTGAGATGAACCCATTTTTCAACAGGGAGTCAAGTCAAAAATGTTCTTGACAATAATATGTTCTATCCGCCTCCGCTAGTCTAAACACATTATTCTCTTGTGGAATATGCGTTAAGCAGGAAAATCAACAAGCTTTTCGCAATTTCAGGGGGCGGCCATTTTCCCACTTTCTGTCAACTGAAAATGACATCAGAGTTGCCCAAGGCTCAGGTAATGACCAATCACAGCTCACCTGTTCTCTGAAACTGAGACATGATGAGTTATTATCTTAGCCCCGAGCAACTGTACTGTCATTTTTAGTCGAAATTTCGTGGCAAAATGACCAAACTCTAAATATAGTTGTGTCGTGACTGGTCATAACCTGAGCTCGGCAATGCATGGGCATTGAATATAAATTGCAACTTGCTCATTTCACAACTGCTTTTCATAAAGTTTATTTTTTTGTCAATGCCAAAATGTGTGCTATTAATACAGAACTTATAACATGGAATACAACACAATTTTAACCTGGGAAAGGTTATTCCAAGTTCCCTTGCCGTAGTTGTATGGCGCTGTGCACAAGCATGCAGCACAAAGTGCTAGCATCCTTCTTCTTTTTGTCGTCCACACACATAGAATTAGCTCATAAGTGGAAAAAGAATATTGCGTGAACATGTAAGCCAAGAGCATCATAGATATCTATTTATATTTTTTTATATTTGTAACGATCGCGTCCGCATGGTTGCTTCGTACAAGTTGGTAGTGTAGCAGAGAACTATGCCTGCATTGTTTGGATGGACGGGACATCGCCACACGTGACAGCACATGACCATTGGCCGTCCCGAGGGCTTTCCGGTAGACGACATCAACATCGCTTTGGCTGTGTTTATGATGACACATGGCCACAACGCACAGTAGATGAATGAGGGCCTTTCCCAGTAATGTATCAGTAAATACTTTTTTTATTCTTGACAGAGCAGATTTGCTAATCAGTGACATAATTTGAGGAGCATTTTTCAAGTGTTTGATTGTGCAGACCTCAGAAGTTGGATATGCTCTGCTTCAAAGCGGTTCCAGCAAGACGTTGGTGAAAAGTGTACTCGGACCACCCAAGCTCTTAATTTCAGTTTTAAATTATTTTGTATAAATCTTAGTTTAGCTTAGCAATTAACATGATTCCTGGTTTTCCTCCTAATCCCTTTGTGAGAATGATGCTTATCAGAAGTGGATCTTATTCGTCGCCATGGAGGCGATGATTACTGGTTTAATTGCAAAATTTAGCCGCACTAGCTAGCGAGGCGGATCTATTAATTTTGCTCTTTCGGAAAAAGACAAGCGATTGAGGCCTTCCCGTTCGATAAAAAAGATGGGCTACTAATGCTTCACTTTCCTGTAAAGAAACTGTAAACAAACTATTGATGAATTGAATTGAATCAATAGCTTCCCTTTTCAAATGACAGCATTGTTTGGACAAAGATAGATAAAACTGTGACAAACGTGGATATTTTGCGCAATGTATTTTTGTTGTTTGTGTTTAACCATCAGGCAAGGACTCTTTCTGGGGAAACGAAAAACACAGTGACTCGGAACAAAACTCCTCATTCAGCGCTAAATCCTTTTCAGTAGCAGCTCCCATTGAAAAAGCTGTTGTGAAAGAATGAAAAAAAAAACAAAACTAAAAGGGTCAAGCCCAGTCACGCTTGAATGGGAAGACTGTGAAAAGTCAACATTATTACCGGTGCGGCCCACGTCACACCGCATCAAAGGAGGGCTTCCCTTGTTGCCTATGACTAAAAGTAGTGCCATTACATGAATGCGTAAAAATGAATGGGGAAAAACAAGTTGCCCACCATTTTGCCTCGACTCCTTCCTGACCACACAGCATCATCTGCAGGGCTTTGCTTTGTACACGGGGGATAAAAAGCAAAAGTGGGTCAAGACTTGCCTGTGGAGCGTTCTGACGCTGCACTCGGAAAAAAAGCACACGAACACATTTGAGCTTGTCTCGTCTTGTCCCTCACTGTACTCGACGCTACCATGATTAGCTTGGCATTTCAACATTAATGCCTGTCTGTAGCGGTCAAACATCTTGAAAGCCCACTTGACAAATCCACATTGTTTTGTAGCATAAAGGCGCAATTTTCCGGCACTCTGGCTACTGGCAAGATTTGCCAAAAATGACAGTCTGTCAAAAAGTTGAATTTCTGTAGTCAGATTGGTAGCAAGATGGAAGCTAACATTAGCATACCATTAGCACATCCTGATCCTTCAGCAGATTGCGGTGACCAATCAATAATGAATAGCAATGAAAATAACCATGAGTCAGCCTGTGGTCAGCTTTCAGCCTCGGGTTTCGCTCCTGAAATATTCACACTCTACCTTTGCATCATTTATTTTGTCAACACAACAACAACAAAAAATGAGTGTGAATGTCAAACAGTTGAATGGTCTTCCCCGTCATGTGATCTCTGCAACCAAGAACAAAAATTCCATCGCAGCTACTGGAGGACTTGGCCGCTGCTCCCCTCCCTACAGATGTTTTTCGTTTGCGTCAGGGAGGTGATTCACCACACCACCTTTTTCCTCATTACCACCGCCAGCGGACAGGCGGACTGACACTTTTTCCAAAAGATGCAAGACGAGCACGTTTTGCGACACTTATCCCAAGAAAGTATCAGCCTCGACAATTTACTACTAGTGAGCCCATCTGGATTTTTTTAGGGCAGATTTTTCTCTCCACCGAAAATTCATGTACAACACTTTTGATGCTTCGCTCCCCTTCCTCTGATAGGTGCTACATGATTCCATGTCAGCCAACACTGGCCAGGAGATGAAATGATGCGGGGAATTTGACGACTTGGGAAGGGGAATATTGTGATGTGTTGATTCATCAAAGGCAATATTAATCAGAGGACCATCGTGTTTGGATTAGTGTTGGTGCATACAACCTACCATTTCTTGAAACATTTTTGGGTGTAGTTGCCCTTTAAAACATTGACTAGAGCGTGAGTGAAAAGCTTCAGGGTGGCTTGAATTTGATGAATTCACTTAGCATTGTTTCCCATAGCAACAACAGAGACTGAAATTGCATTTATTCTGACCAAAGCTGAAAATATTCTTCGAAGGGACTGCAGCAAACGCCTGGGAGGCTGGAGGCACTCAGGTCGGCAACGAGTTTCGTGTTTTACATTTGGAAATGAGGTCACGTTTAGACATTGGAGCCAAGACTAAGTGTGTGTGTGTGTGTGTGTGTGTGTGTGTGTGTGTGTGTGTGTTTCCCAAGTTTAATGCACCATTTTATCGGGATGCCACGACAGGAGTCCTGAGGTGGGAAACACGGGGAGTGGAGTGGTTGGGAACTGGCCTGCCTGACCTGATTACTCAACCAGGATGTGATAGAAAATGACACAGCATCAACAACATCACAAACAAGGTATGCTGCTGTCATCGTTCATCGTTTGGCTCGCGCATTTTGCTTTTTCTTTGGCGTGTAGCCGCAGCATCAACAATTTGAAGTAGGTGCTAGCTAGCTACTTGCTGGGAAATGAGATTTTGAAAGTCACAAAAAAAATTCACAAGACCTCTGTTTGGCTAGCATTATAGTTTTAATATTTATTTGTCTTTTTTTTAGGGGCAACAGCTAATAGATTTTCAAATTAATCAACAATGATTTAGATAATCAATTAGTCATTTAGAGATCTTGTGGAACTTAAATTGTGGTAACTGCATTTGCAATTATTCATCATTCCCGACTCGTGAATTACGATAATTTGTGAATTTGTGACAAGATTTCTAAAAAAAATGCCTTCAAATGGCCACTTCAAACTGGGTACATTTAGTCTCATTTTATCCAGTCGTTCCCTTAAGATGAAAACCATCCAAATTAAAACATCAGGATTAAGGATGCTGTCAACATGAAGGAAATGAGCATTTGTATTTTGTCTGTGACGGCAAGAACGGACACAGTTTGACCACAAAACGGACGACGCCGAGCCCTGAGGCCTGGCCTGGCAGCGATGTGCACTGAAGCTGCACGCTTACGTAACCGCCACATCCTCCATCCCAGTTGCCTAAGCCGTCTCTTTAGAGTGCTCGCTCTGATGTGACAACAAGAAAAGCAGCAGAAGGACACACAAGTTCACCTTCAGATAGAAAGCCAGAGAGCTCGGGGCATTCATGTTGTCACAAGAAAGAAAGGGCCCGTTTCTGTTTCATTGCGATGAAGCAAATGCATTGAAATAGCCTACAGGTGCCCTCAGCTCAAAGTGTAAAAGCTTTTTTTTTCCTTGCATGCATGCATGGATGCATCGTGTGGTGCTGCTGGCAGTGTCCTCACCTCCTCCAGGACGCTGACGGTGTTCCTGCAGCTCTGCAGCCGGGTGGTGAAGCTGGACGTGGTGGGCGAATTGTAATCCTCGGTCGTCTCCGAGAGGAACTCGGTTACTGAGATCTGATCCGGCATCCTCGACGGCAGATAATGGCCAGTTGGGTGGCTCGAAGGTGGGGAAGGGGAAGGGGGGACAGGGGGTGTCGAGGAGAGAGCACTTAGAGGGAACACAGCATGTAAACGCGGGTTGTGCGGGGGGGGGGGCAGGGCGAGTCCGAGTGAGGGAGGGAGGGGAGAGAAAGCGGATTTTCCTTGTCGCTACGGAGATGATTAAACCCCGTTTTTCCCTCTCGGATGACTTCACTGCTCCCCAGGGAGCGAGAGGGGGGGATTAGCTGGATTTTGAGACGAAATGGGGAGCGTGCAAACGTCTAAATCGAGCGTCTAAGTCGAGCCCGGAGGAAGGAGAGCGGATGGCCACATTTTGCTATACAGATGTTCCAAAACGAGCCCAGTTTACGAAATCGTCCAGCAACCGTCAGCCGTTCACGCTAAACCGCCTCTCTATCGTAGTCCATGGTGCGCAAATGTCATCACCCAACTGACGCGGGCTCCGGTACGGCCTTCCTCGGCTGCTTTTTAGGTGCTTTTTGAAGGGTAGGAGAAAGGTTTTCGTGCCGTCGACTCATCCACCGCCGCCACTCTTGCTCGCTCGCTCTCCAAGCTGCACTGAGAAGTAGGAGGAGGAGGAGGAGATGGTGGGGGAGGAGGAGGAGGAGGAGGAAGCGGTAGCTAAGCTAGCGGGAGTCCAAGACAGCTGCTTCCTGATTTTGGGTTTCAAAATAAAACCTGTGTTACAAAGCAAACGTATACGCAAACGACAAGGCAGACTAGCATGTCGTCTGTGTCGTTTGCTAATATCGTTCTGTCATGTTCGTCCCCATACAATGACAAATAGACGATGTAATTCAAGGTCAGCTATGTCTAAACCGCGCCCATTATCGACTTTTTTTTACTTTATTTTATTTTGTGAAAGCATCAACGTTGCATGTCCACGATCGTGTGCTTATTTAGGGTATCTGACCCACATTCCCGGTTTCCACCAGTTGACCGAGGTGACACTGCGCATGCGTCATGTGACTGCAGCGAATGCTGCTGCTGCTGCTCGACGTTTGCCAGGCCCGAGTCTTAAGCACAAACGCGTTCTGTACGGTGACTTTTACACACTGCGAGGACTACGTTTTTTAAAATTCAACTAATGCATTGATCTTGGTTATAACGGAGAAAACCCAGAACATCTATTTACTTTCTACCCATTCGAGGATTTAGACACTAAAAGCAATGCCTTTAGTGTGCATTTAAAAGCGTCATCATACGTCATACACGTAAGCATTGCAAATGTGGCGACGTATTTGTTTTTTTCTCCCACTATCTTATTTGACTTTCAAAAGCACGAATAGCCCACCAAGCGCCATCTTGTGGCTTGTAGAGTACATTGCTAATACTGATTAAATGTACTGTATCCACCCATCTATTCTCCTCACGAGTGTCGCGGTCGAACTGGAGACTATCCCAGCTGTCTTTGGGCAGAAGGAAGGGTACACCCAATTGCAGGGCACAAATAGACAAAATAATAATAAAATAAATATTCAAACTATGAATGAAACTCAGCTATGTGACACACTGTGGGAGGCTGTACACCAAGAACAGTCGACTGGTGGCTGTACTGTGATGTCCGTAGTAAGGCGCACCACTGGCACATATTTTTGTATTTTGACCCTACTGTGCTCGCCGTAGTCAGCCATCAAACATGGCCGACCTTTGGCGCATATGCGCCGAGCGGCCAAGCTAACACGGTCAGAAGAAACTGAAGAAAGCAAGTGCGACGAAACCGGGGAGAGACATTTGTGTCTTTTGGGAGTACTCCATTTAATAAACCATCAGACGTTTTTGAGACAAAACAATCGTCTTGGTTTGCTGGTGGACGCTTGTGACTTGTAGTAAACGGACACGACAACTTTTCGCGTAGGAGAGCTACTAAACAGCTGACTGAATGGCTGAAGGCTCCTCAGGTAAATTTTTTGAATTTAGTCTCAATTTATCCAGTCGTTCCCTTAAGAAGACTTTATCCGTTTGAATGACTAATTGGCCCTCTATGTCACGTTAGATCGTCAAAGTTAGCCTGTAGTTTGTTTTTTTAGGCAATGGTACGAAGCGGCTGTGACGTTTTAATTTACTCGTGTTATACTAGTTTTATAACTGCTATAGCTGCAAGGTTATATGAACACTTGCTCACCAACTTTGAAATCGTTCGCACCGAATATGTTAAGGCTATAAAATAAATACAAATCAAATAGATTTGAGTCCTTTGGTGCTTTTTATTGTAAAGAGGACACACCATGAAAATTGACTTTGTCTTCAAGGGTAAATTCAAACATCCTACTTAATCGTTTTTACTCCTCCACCTATTTCTGTAAATGTTGATATGTGTGTATAAAAAGCTTAATTTACAGGACACCCACATCATCAGACAGACCATTTAATGATGATGTCAGTGATGTATCTATGATTTTCCCGTGACAAATATAAGTTATGACTCTTTGTAAGCAGTCAGCTCCTCGTTTAAACCTGATTTTTCTCTCAACATAAGAACGAGCTCCCCAAAACTTATTTAGCCCTCCAAGTACCACCACGACGACAGGAGTGCAGTAGGCGTAAGGATGTAATGTATTGTTAAATAATGATTCAATAAAAATGTATCGCACATAGTTAACATGAAAATTGTCCCTCGTAAATGTTCAAAAGCGAACATTTGAATTAAAAAAATGAAGCGGGAACGTGTTGAGTTACAAAGTTAAATACAACTGAATTGCACATAGGCAGCGATTATTATTTTTTTGAACTACCACCAAATGGAGCCCACATAACTCACTTGGAGAATCACTGGTTGAAATGATTAACATTTGTTACACTTTGATTTGCACCAGGACTCTGTCGCTCAAATGTGAGGCTGTGGCATTTCTTTTATTTTGTGTGGACAGTATTTAGCATTGTAACCGCTGTGTTTGTAGAGCCAACGGACCTCAATCCAGAGGGTGCATCGCATCCTAAGAAGCCAAGCAACTACAAGTCCAGACGCGATCAGTCGAAATTCAGTGGCGAGCAACGCTCGAGTGCTCCCTCCCAGCAACATGGCCGCCCTCACCATGACTTCCAACAGGCAGCCTCTCAGGACACCCACCGCCAACAGGACCAGGAGGGCGGCAGCAGGCGAGGGCGTGGCCGCCGAGACGGATTTCGAGGCAGTAGGCGCGGGCAAAGAGCTTTTACTGGGGACCAGTCAAACCACGGACCCGAATGGACGAACTGGTGGAGAGATAACGACGACGGCGGTGGCAGCAGAAATTTGGAACCAGGGAAGTTGAGGCATGAAAATCCTAGGCGAAGAGATGGCACTCATTTAAGGGAAAAGAACAGCGACGTTGGGCGTCGGATGCCAGACGACGATGCGGCAGAAGAACAAGGAAGGAGCTGGTGGGCCATGGCAACTGGTCCGGACCCCTGCGGAGATCATCGAAAGAAGCAGCTCGAACAGAAGCGGCGACAAGGACCCATCAAACCTTCCAAAGTGCCAGCACGGGCCGACAGGGACTCGGACAGGGCGGCCTGTCGCCATGACAACCGCACCAACCGACAGCCGGGTGACCGTTACAGAGGCCAGAGGAGCGTGCGCAACCGCAATATGCCACAAAGCAACCAAACGCAAACAGGTTACCCAAACGTCTTGCATCTGGCCCAACAAACTGCCATATTGCCCTTAAATTGTGTCTTCATTTTTTTGATGATTGATCGAGCTCCACAAAATATTTATATTTTAAAAAATTATTATAAGTATAGGTTGGTTACCTTATTTCAAATTGTAATTATTGAAGTGACAAATGTGCATAGTAATTTTATTATTCAAATAAACTTTTACATAAAAATATTTTTGAAACCATTTTTTAAAGATTATTTATGAAATACTTAATCAATTCATTGTAGTTAAATAATAATAGTTTTTAAAATAAGCATGAAATATTTTTCGTAAAAAAAAAAACTACCTAAACTATATTTCATTATTTAATTGTATTTAATTGCTATTGATACTTTTTCAAATAAACCCCAGTTGCTTCAGAGTGAAATAAATGTAAAATTTAAAAAGATTATAAAACAATCGGTTAAGTAATTATAGTTCAATTCGTTCATCATTTAAATATTAAAATAAAAGTTTATATAGCATATAAAAGTATGATTAAAATACTACAGCCGTACTTTGTATTGAATTTATTGAATAATTGGTTTGATGATTTGTAATGATTTTTATTGAAATGAGCATGAATGATGAGTTTATTATTAAAAAAAAAAATTACAACCAATGAAAACGATATGTATTTTTATACCACTGTAGATGAATTCTGATGACGGTAACGATGAATAATAGACTAGCATGAATTGTTGCAAACCAATTTCCATCCAGGTTTCAACTTGGTTTGGCACATCCATCAGATTTGGAAATGCAATTTGGCTCTTGGAGCAAAGTTTGATGTGTGGGTTAGCCTGTTCGACATTTGCCGGCGGGGCCCCGCAAGCAAGTGACGCTGGCCCTTGGCGTTCTTTCAGGGTGTCTGATCGAACAGCTGTCGTCGGAGAAGTACGAGTGCATGGTGTGCTGCGACGTCATCCGTCTGATGGCGCCCGTGTGGAGCTGCCACAGCTGCTTCCACGTCTTCCACCTCAACTGCATCAAGAAATGGGCCCGTTCGCCCGCCTCCCAGGCAGACGGTACGGCTTCACCAACAACAGCACAAACGCACGCCGCTTTGCTTTCGACTTACTTGTACTTGTCTGTTTGGCTTAAGGTGGGAGTCTTTTTTAATTTAATATTACTTATTATTTATTTAATTTTTATTTTAATCACCACAATAGCAATAAAAAAAACAGCACTGATGAAATGCGCTCCTCTGTCCTTTCCCCCCCCACCCCCCATCACTGTTGCTCTGTTGTTGTATCTTATCTTCTTCAGATTCAGCTGACGGTTGGCGTTGTCCCGCCTGCCAGAATGTTGCACTTAAACACCCAGCCTCCTACACTTGCTTCTGCGGTGAGTCTTTGATCATTCAAAGTCGCCAGCACGTGCAAAATTTGTCACACGGCGAAAGTTTTCTCTGCCGATAGGCAAAGTGACCAATCCTGAATGGCAGCGCAGCGAGATCCCCCACAGCTGCGGCGACATGTGTGGCAAGAAGAGGAGCGGCGCGGACTGCAACCACCCTTGTAACATGTGAGCCAACACCTGACAGACACTGCAAACCCATTCTGTAGGAACGATGCGCGCTGGACATGTCAAAATTATCGTGACGTTTCAAATTCACTTGCCATGTTTTTTTTTTTTGTTTTTTTTTTTTTTGAAAGTTCCACCAAGATGGCTGCCATGTCGCATTGCTACTTTCAAATCAATGTTGGTCTAAATTGCGGTTTAGTTCCAGTTTTAGTTCCAGCACTTTATTTCTGAATTCATCTGTCCTCTCATGTAAAATCAACCTGGAATCAGCTGCAGCTCACCTGCGACCCGAATGAGGAAAAACACAATTTTAAAAAAATGCATTGATGGCTATTGAAAAAAAATACACATGAAAGTACTTATTTTTTTCTCCCCTTCCATGTCTCCTTCAGCTTGTGTCATCCAGGGCCTTGTCCGCAGTGTCCCGCCTTTGTGACCAAATCCTGCGTCTGTGGA